AATTTAAACCCCCCTTATGTGTACAAAAACAATTTGTCGTAACTTTGAATTTACCTTGGTAATTCTTAAGTCATTCTATGGCCTAGGATAACGCGACAATTTCTTATTCTTCCTCTCCCCTTAGTTATTTTAATTGTACTTTTATGTTTGACCTTTATTAATTTTCATATAAAAATGCCCTGACAAGTATATGTGTGACCAGATTGTTCGAAATGTGTAGCGCTAATACATCACATTTTTCAGATCAACTCCGTCTTCTCATTGTTCTATCGAGATCTGGGATCTGTCAAACTAAACTGATCACCTAACCTAATATTTTTTATTTGTAATATGTTGTTTAGTGCTGAAGAAATGAATGTAATCTTGTGCAACTATATATCCAATAACCAGTACATTTTTTAGACTGTTTCTATTATTATGTAATTTAAAAGTAAACTCAAATATCAATGAAACCAGTACTTTATTTATTTGACTGACTGATTTGACCTATTGTGTGACCTATTATAACCCTATATCCTACAACTTCTAGACCTATAGTTTATTAAAAACAATTCGTACCATAATATGTATCTTAGGCTGTTTATTTGTTTATGTAACATTTCGTGATTTTATTTGTCAATTTGATATTTTGTTAGTTCAAGTCACAACTACTCAGCATCTTATCTTTTTTAAAAAAAAGGTTAAATGGTAGCTTATAACCGAAATTTATGAAAACAACGTTAATTTGGTCAGTACAATTCACTGAATACTGAATGTTAGATAACACCATAGTGTTTACTCATCGATAATCAATTATTGTTACTGATACATTTTCGTTAATGTATTTACGTCTAGTTGGCTATATGTATTATATGATTCGAAGGAATTCAAAATAAATATCACTTAGACTTTTTGTGCTTTTAAACTGTACTCAAGAGAGCCACAATAGTAATTAAGTAACATACATAATGAGGGTTTCGTTGATTTATAATTTTATAATATTGATCGGAGTGGCTTCCAGAAAACTAGCATTAATAATAAAATGAGTTTGTAGGCGGGTTACAAATTGGTTTACAGAATTCAGTCAGTACTAAGAAGTAGACATATATTGCATTCATTGATCAATACGAGTAAATTAATCCTACAGTAGCAGTATATATAGTTCAGTGGTGACATCCCAAGGAGTAAATCTGAAGGGCGCGCGCTCGAATCCTGCAAAGAACATCAGTCTCCTGAATATTCCAGATTCACCTTGCTAACATGTGGTAGTTAGCCCGAAAGGAAGTTTGAGGTTCTCTCTACAGATTTTATTCAATCACTTGGCACCAGTGGATCTAGTTCTTGATGTTTAGTATGAAAAATCAAGAGAGGGGGTCATCTAAAACGACTCTGCAGTAGGCGTGAAAAAAAATTCTGATATTGAAAAAAGGGAAAAACTAATAATCTTAAATGAAGCTTAGTTCTGAAACACCTGTTGTGAACTTCTATGAAAATCACACCGGAATTCAGTGTTCTAACTGATATCATAACAAAAAGTACACACAGTACACATAGAAAAGTGGTTTGTATAACCGATACTCTAAGGAATAATAGAATAAGTCTATAAATAATCCATTTATTGTGTTTGAATAAACTTAAATAAAAGCCATTTTCAGATCAACGTGATCCGTTAAAATGTTGATATCTACAATACGTTTTTAACAATTGTCATGTTTATCGAGTCCTTCTTGGTCACTGTTTTTTATTTTGATACCAATTCTTATTACATAACGACGTTAGCTGGTGAACCATTGGATAACGAAGGAACACAAACCGTATTTGTTTTAATCTTTGTTTGAGAATTATCAGAAGCACTATATTCACAATGAATATGAATCTACTACGTTTTCAGTTATAATTACGAATAATAGTATATTGAAACAACTATTTTAGAATTAAGCTACCTATCTTCACCTCATTCCACTTAATATCAGAACTGTCACTATTTTTATTCAACTTTGTTTCCATGAGTTGTTTATTGTCTGCAGTTGACTGATTACTGAGTAGTGATTAATGTCTCATTTGTCTAGTCTTTTAGTTCTGATCGAAATCGATCAGTCACACTGTAATGCAGCCACTAGTTTAAATGACTCGATATCACATACAATGCTTTGAGACGTTAAGCGGTTGGAGGTACTTACTTACGCCTGTTACTCCTAATAGAGCATAGGCCGCAGACCAGCATTCTCCAACCCACTCTGTCATGGGCCTTCTTTTCTAATTCCATCCAATTCTTGTTCATTTCTCTCATGTCTATCTCCATTTCCCGCCGTAATGTGTTCTTTGGTCTTCCTCTTTTCCTTTGTATTTCAGGATTCCATGTGCGGCTTTTATCATGAGGCGTTATAGTTCTTCTAAATGAAGACCTTCTGAATCCCAGGGCAGAGTTTAAAACGTTCGAACAATTTTTTCTGGCTAGTTTTTTTAGCGAGTTAGTTTTCTACAGGATGGGGTCGCTAACCCTCCTCCTTTATCTGGGCTTAGGGCCGGCAGTAGCCCCCGGAATGACTCGACGCGGAGTTCGGTTGGAGGTAATTGGTAAAAAAAGCACTCAACAAAGAGGGAACTGATGCTCTCTATATGATTCGAAATTCATTCACTCAATTTCACAGTCTGAGATACAATCAAAAACTTGTTCAGACTGCAACTGACGTCATATAGGTTTCTTGTCAATCAATCGTTATTGTCTTCTTTGGAAACCGTCAAATGTTATAGTGTCAGTCATTATTTCAAACCCATATTTTATCTTATTCTAGTTTTTGGACAAACCAATCTATTCATTCTGCTTGAGTCATATTTTGACTTTGTTAATTATTCACTTATCAATCTTGACTGCTTTTATATGAGCGTATATGTGAATACACTTCATATCCCATGTCTCATCACATGCCTGTAGTTTATTTTGTCTACCTATAAATATTGCGTAACACCTGGCTAGAAATGGAGTTGGCTTACCAGCCATCTCCCCTGCGCGTCATTTTGCTTTGTTCTATTACATTCACTTTACATACAAAATATATGTATTCAAAGGCCATTCTCGTTAATTGACTTATCTAAATTCCGTTATTGACTAACGTGATTTAAGTCGATGATTGTGATAACAAACATTCTTACAATCTAAATGGAGTCAGATCCACGGGCCACTAAAATCTCATTGATTCTCTAGTTAATATCATTCAACAATGAAAGTTACTACTAAACTAATTCAGTCAAGAATTTGTGGTTCATTTATTTTGTAGAATATCATCAGAATCATTGCCTTTTTTGTAACCGAATGAGTTATGTATTACTGAAGATTTAAGACATTTCTAATTTGAATATCAAATGGTCAGCTTCAACTTTTACACCCAACATTATTAGTGATTGTGCAATAGATGACATTTTTAAATTTAAGGGTGAGCATTATACCGAAAAATATGGATATTCTATTACCATTTGATTAAAGTCTATGCACAAGAATAGACTCACACTTGTTTTATCTTTCTTGAAATCATAATAATGCATCATCACTTTAGAAAATTAGCGACACCAAATTCCAGTCATCCAATTACTGGTTTAATTTATTTTCAAAATTATGTGTGCATTTGTGTAATTTATAGTGTAATTTATTAATTGCGCAGGAGCAAACAATATTCGTTAATGTGTGTGTGAAGCAGAGAACATATAGATTTAAACTGAAGTTATTCACAATGTTTTTAATATTCATTTAAATGTATTAAACTTAACCCTTCCAATCACTTATAGGTTCTTTTAGCGGTGAGTACCGGATTTCAGTGTAATTTTCGTTAAAGAATTCATTTCATAGCCTAATGTTTGTAGGGGCTGGCACTATTCCAAACCCACATAGGTTATTCTAGCCTCTAAACAGATCAATCTACTGGTTCTTCTCAACCCACTTTTTTACCGTCACTTATTAATCCTGTTTTTATATGATTGTATGTGCGCCAATTACTTACCCAACTAATTGTCTGTAAATTATTTCTGTTCGACTATAAATATCACTTCCTGTTTGGTTAAATCGAGTTGGTTCACTCGCCACCTCCATTGCGCGTCATTTCGTTTTGCTTGGCTTTCCGATCGATGAAATATATGTATTCAAAAATCCATTCCCGTATATGACTTATTTAATTCCGTTATTCACCAACGCAATTTAAGTCGATGATCATATACGAGAGTAGCCAGTATGTATATTTCGACAGCAATCATTTGTTAACGATCACTCGTTCGATCTAAGTGGTGTCAAATATAGGGCTACTAAAACATTTACTGTATTCATACCTTTCAACCAGTATAACGTGTTGAGCCACTCTGGATATGTTAATAACAGACAACTAAAGGCAATTTCAGTCACTTAAATTGAATATTTTTAATGAGAATTACACTAATATGTAGTGCTTGGTCATTAAATGAACGGAAAATTGACCGAGAGCGCTGGATACCACACGCGGCTAGTGAACATTGACAACTTTATGGATAAACACACTCCCAGATATACGTCTGAATCGATTTATAATGAGTACTGGTTACACGGCCAATAATACTGCTTTATTAGTAAGAAATCAATGGTCATATTAGTTATGAAATAACCCGATTCGACTATTAGATATATAACCCTCCCTTATGTATTCATTTGAATTACAATTATATTGCTGAAATATTAGTAATATTATCATTCATACACTTTTGTATCATCATTAATTTACCTAATATATGGTTAAATGAATTAGAACTCAATGCATTTTACTAACTATTATCACTTTATATATTGCATAATCTTTGATCAAATAATTGGTTTGATCTGTTTAAACACGTTAAATCTCGTAATTTAGTTTGATTCGCGACTACAGTGATTGCTAATGACGAACAATCAAGATTATTTGAATAAGAGTGGGTTCTGTTCCCCAATCCATAAAACGGCGACGGGTACATACAACTCTTTAACAATTATCCCCAAAGACAGAACCCCATGCAGAAGACAAGAGTGTAAATAAACATTGATATTCAAAGAAGACAAACGTGAAGAAGAGGAATTCAGAATACAAAGAAATGAGACATGATCTGTGGACATGAAGGAAAATTGGCAAACCAGAAGTGGTAATAACCAACATAACCGAAACTTCGGAATAACAAATAAGACACAGTATACGTTACCAAACACATGTAATAAACACACTTGTTTGCACATTGAAGTGACGTCATTTTTGTCCTGAAATATTAATTTATAATTCACTAGTATAAGATTGTTTGATTTAATACTGCACATTAGTTAACGCAGTATTTAGAAACCTACTCTGTTAACGATTCTAAATTCCATATGGTATAATTTTGGGAAGATAACTTTGCTTAGTTATTCCTCTGAATTGTTTGTTAAAACTTATGATTGTAGGAGTGGATGTGTGTCTCCTATGCACGAACCTAGTATCCCATAACGTAAAAATTAACATATTATCGAATTGTCTTGGATCCTGATGCGTTTGACCACATCACAAAACAACGAATGCGAATGACTGATTTACAGTAGTAAATGCGAGAACGTACGGAAAGCGTATTGGTTTTATGATTTTAATAGACTGTTCAAGGTTTCATATATAGTTCCAAATGATATAGTTAATGATTAGGCACAGAAGTTAAGATGTACACAAAACCAAAACAACTCATAACACTGAAACATCATTTTATCACGTATTTCTACGGATTCTCACAATTATTTCATTCCCGTACTTTATTTTATTTTAATACGTGTAAAAATATTTAAAGAAATACTGTACAATCAGGGGTATGATGCCAATTATTAACCACCCCTCCTCCCCAAACAAAAAGAGACCGATAATCACAAACAATTAGCCATTTCAAGGATCGCATAGCCAAAAAGAGTAATCATATGCAATTTTATGTTGGAAGGCATCGACCAAATCATCAGAAGCACAATGCAAGGTAGGCAGCAAACTTTGTATACCTTTCGATTGTAAATTGACTGACTGATAAACATGACGGTTTGGATCGAAAAATTCCAACAAATCTGGTTCAGGTTCATCCTAAAAAGTAGTAATGATAATTATATCATTATTATTACCATGATAAGAGTGAAAGTAATAATAAAAAACAGCCAAAAATATCTCTCTTCATTTTGATGAAACTTTGGAGTAGTAAAATTAGAAGCATGTGCAAACCCTAGGAGACACTAATTTAAAAAATGTATATAATAATATAGATGAGATCATATTTAAAGATAACATTTACATTACAATGATGGCTTATAAATTGTTTCGTTCCGGTTTAGGACACTGCAGCAGTGAAATATATTCAAGACCTCAGAATTATCCTCCGGACTTGTGTCAAATACAACGTACTCAAACTACCTCGTTGGAACCCAAAATAATCGACATACATAAATTCAATTATATTTATAATTTAAGATTATTAATTGTTCAAGATTGATGCCATTCAAAACACAAGGGGAGTAGGTGTATAAAATTAATGTAGGAACGGGTTACACCAATCAGATTCGAGACAATTATTGGATTTTTGCCCGAAATCCAAAACGCAATCTATGTATACAAACCTGAGTAAAACCCAATAATGCTGAATTACTAAGGCACTTAGGATTCACAAATATGGGACAACTAATCACAATGATCTAAAATTATGAATTTTCAAAGGTAAATTAAAGGTTAATTGTATTTAAAATCAAAGAATAAGCCTCATAGTATTTATCCATTATTATTATTATTATTATTATTATTATTATTACTACTACTACTACTACTACTACTACTACTACTACTACTACTACTACTACTACTACTACTACTACTACTACTACTACTACTACTACTACTACTACTACTACTACTACTACTACTACTACTACTACTACTACTACTACTACTACTACTACTACTACTACTACTACTACTACTACTACTACTACTACTACTACTACTACTACTACTACTACTACTACTACTACTACTACTACTACTACTACTACTACTACTACTACTACTACTACTACTACTACTACTACTACTACTACTACTACTACTACTACTACTACTACTACTACTACTACTACTACTACTACTACTACTACTACTACTACTACTACTACTACTACTACTACTACTACTACTACTACTACTACTACTACTACTACTACTACTACTACTACTACTACTACTACTACTACTACTACTACTACTACTACTACTACTACTACTACTACTACTACTACTACTACTACTACTACTACTACTACTACTACTACTACTACTACTACTACTACTACTACTACTACTACTACTACTACTACTACTACTACTACTACTACTACTACTACTACTACTACTACTACTACTACTACTACTACTACTACTACTACTACTACTACTACTACTACTACTACTACTACTACTACTACTACTACTACTACTACTACTACTACTACTACTACTACTACTACTACTACTACTACTACTACTACTACTACTACTACTACTACTACTACTACTACTACTACTACTACTACTACTACTACTACTACTACTACTACTACTACTACTACTACTACTACTACTACTACTACTACTACTACTACTACTACTACTACTACTACTACTACTACTACTACTACTACTACTACTACTACTACTACTACTACTACTACTACTACTACTACTACTACTACTACTACTACTACTACTACTACTACTACTACTACTACTACTACTACTACTACTACTACTACTACTACTACTACTACTACTACTACTACTACTACTACTACTACTACTACTACTACTACTACTACTACTACTACTACTACTACTACTACTACTACTACTACTACTACTACTACTACTACTACTACTACTACTACTACTACTACTACTACTACTACTACTACTACTACTACTACTACTACTACTACTACTACTACTACTACTACTACTACTACTACTACTACTACTACTACTACTACTACTACTACTACTACTACTACTACTACTACTACTACTACTACTACTACTACTACTACTACTACTACTACTACTACTACTACTACTACTACTACTACTACTACTACTACTACTACTACTACTACTACTACTACTACTACTACTACTACTACTACTACTACTACTACTACTACTACTACTACTACTACTACTACTACTACTACTACTACTACTACTACTACTACTACTACTACTACTACTACTACTACTACTACTACTACTACTACTACTACTACTACTACTACTACTACTACTACTACTACTACTACTACTACTACTACTACTACTACTACTACTACTACTACTACTACTACTACTACTACTACTACTACTACTACTACTACTACTACTACTACTACTACTACTACTACTACTACTACTACTACTACTACTACTACTACTACTACTACTACTACTACTACTACTACTACTACTACTACTACTACTACTACTACTACTACTACTACTACTACTACTACTACTACTACTACTACTACTACTACTACTACTACTACTACTACTACTACTACTACTACTACTACTACTACTACTACTACTACTACTACTACTACTACTACTACTACTACTACTACTACTACTACTACTACTACTACTACTACTACTACTACTACTACTACTACTACTACTACTACTACTACTACTACTACTACTACTACTACTACTACTACTACTACTACTACTACTACTACTACTACTACTACTACTACTACTACTACTACTACTACTACTACTACTACTACTACTACTACTACTACTACTACTACTACTACTACTACTACTACTACTACTACTACTACTACTACTACTACTACTACTACTACTACTACTACTACTACTACTACTACTACTACTACTACTACTACTACTACTACTACTACTACTACTACTACTACTACTACTACTACTACTACTACTACTACTACTACTACTACTACTACTACTACTACTACTACTACTACTACTACTACTACTACTACTACTACTACTACTACTACTACTACTACTACTACTACTACTACTACTACTACTACTACTACTACTACTACTACTACTACTACTACTACTACTACTACTACTACTACTACTACTACTACTACTACTACTACTACTACTACTACTACTACTACTACTACTACTACTACTACTACTACTACTACTACTACTACTACTACTACTACTACTACTACTACTACTACTACTACTACTACTACTACTACTACTACTACTACTACTACTACTACTACTACTACTACTACTACTACTACTACTACTACTACTACTACTACTACTACTACTACTACTACTACTACTACTACTACTACTACTACTACTACTACTACTACTACTACTACTACTACTACTACTACTACTACTACTACTACTACTACTACTACTACTACTACTACTACTACTACTACTACTACTACTACTACTACTACTACTACTACTACTACTACTACTACTACTACTACTACTACTACTACTACTACTACTACTACTACTACTACTACTACTACTACTACTACTACTACTACTACTACTACTACTACTACTACTACTACTACTACTACTACTACTACTACTACTACTACTACTACTACTACTACTACTACTACTACTACTACTACTACTACTACTACTACTACTACTACTACTACTACTACTACTACTACTACTACTACTACTACTACTACTACTACTACTACTACTACTACTACTACTACTACTACTACTACTACTACTACTACTACTACTACTACTACTACTACTACTACTACTACTACTACTACTACTACTACTACTACTACTACTACTACTACTACTACTACTACTACTACTACTACTACTACTACTACTACTACTACTACTACTACTACTACTACTACTACTACTACTACTACTACTACTACTACTACTACTACTACTACTACTACTACTACTACTACTACTACTACTACTACTACTACTACTACTACTACTACTACTACTACTACTACTACTACTACTACTACTACTACTACTACTACTACTACTACTACTACTACTACTACTACTACTACTACTACTACTACTACTACTACTACTACTACTACTACTACTACTACTACTACTACTACTACTACTACTACTACTACTACTACTACTACTACTACTACTACTACTACTACTACTACTACTACTACTACTACTACTACTACTACTACTACTACTACTACTACTACTACTACTACTACTACTACTACTACTACTACTACTACTACTACTACTACTACTACTACTACTACTACTACTACTACTACTACTACTACTACTACTACTACTACTACTACTACTACTACTACTACTACTACTACTACTACTACTACTACTACTACTACTACTACTACTACTACTACTACTACTACTACTACTACTACTACTACTACTACTACTACTACTACTACTACTACTACTACTACTACTACTACTACTACTACTACTACTACTACTACTACTACTACTACTACTACTACTACTACTACTACTACTACTACTACTATTATTATTATTATTATTATTATTATTATTATTATTATTATTATTATTATTATTATTATTATTATTATTATTATTAGCTTTATTCAATATTACATTTTTGGTACAATATAGAATTTTCAGCGTAAAGTATTTCAACAAGTTTCTGTTTCTTTCTTTTTGATCGATCCTGGCGATAAATATTGAGTGATCGCCAGTTAGATGTCAACAGTCCAGTAAATGAACATCTGAATAATGTGTATTCTTTTCGCTGTATATTGCCAGCAACCATATTGTCTCTTATTGAGTCTTTTGTAACTTCGACAACGAAAGGTTGTTAAAAATGTGTTAAACGTGTTAAAAATGGAGAAATACGGAATGATGAACTAATGATTATATTACACAACATTCAAGCATTAGGTTGCTGGTTCGAAAGTCACTTCATCTGATGAAGTTTTGGCAGTTGTGTGGTCAGACTAAAC